GGGCGTGAGTGAGAACTGCCAGTGACCCCCTCGGTTCAGGAATGACGACAGACACGGCAGGGATGGTATCTCCTTCCGTGTCTTGTGATAAACATGTTTTCTTCTTCACCTTCTGTGTGTGAGAACCGGCTCTGCACGAAGGAGACACCAAACAAAAGAGCAGCTACTGCTCCCTACTGTCCTTTCTCATGGTAACTCCTTCCTTCCCTGTGATCACTGGAAATCTTCAGCCCTCTGCATCCAAAAATATCCTGCAGAGCTCATTAACCGACACATTCTGATAGTCAGATTGTTTTATTGTTGTCTGCAGCCTTTGGTATATCAGGAAGGTTAAACTTCCAGAGAGTAGCAGTATCTGTAGTGAAGCTGATTCTTTAGCCGTCTGGTGCTGCTTTCATATACACATGATGTGCATGCTGAGAGCTAATAACCCTCCACATGTATATGAAGTATCGGAATGTAAACAGGGAACAGAAAGAGTGTACCATGGGAAAAAGGGATGACTATGGCTTCTTGTCAAGGTTCATCTATAGATGGATACAGTAGGCAGATACATGAATACAGTAGGTGGATAGGTAGATACAGTAGGTGGATGCAGTAGGTGGAGGCAGTAGGTGGATAGGTGGAGGCAGTAGGTGGATAGGTGGAGGCAGTAGGTGGATAGGTGGAGGCAGTAGGTGAATAGGTGGATGCAGTAGGTGGATAGGTGGATGCAGTAGGTGGATGCAGTAGGTGGATAGGTGGATGCAGTAGGTGGATAGGTGGATGCAGTAGGTGGATAGGTGGATGCAGTAGGTGGATAGGTGGATGCAGTAGGTGGAAGCAGTAGGTGGATGCAGTAGGTGGATAGGTGGATGCAGTAGGTGAATAGGTGGAGGCAGTAGGTGAATAGGTGGAGGCAGTAGGTGGATAGGTGGAGGCAGTAGGTGGATAGGTGGAGGCAGTAGGTGGATAGGTGGAGGCAGTAGGTGGATAGAGGAGGAACTAGGGTGTCCTGCACAGAGCTCTGGGGTAAACCCTACTGAACACCTTCTGAGCTGAGTGTTGGGTAGAGAGTCGGTACCCTAGTGGTGGATTGTCTTCTCCTTTTTGTTGGGTAGGGATGGTGAAATGCTCATTATTATACGTTCTCCTCTGTATACAGTGCGTCCTGTCCTTTGTCTGCATGTAGTGTGCGGATGACGGCGGATCGCCCCCTCAGTGTGTACAGAGTTCAGGGATTTCATTATCCGGAAGCAGCTGGTTTCTGGCTGACGCTGGAACATGTGCCGCTGCTAAAGATGAGCTGATAATTCAGCCGGGTGACAGCCTTGGGGGCCCGGACAAGTCCGGCTGTGCAAGGGCCTTTAACCCTTTCATCACCGCGTCCTACCTGAGGGTCTTATGACATCATCCGGTCCCTGCGTACAGCACTTGTAACCCCTTTTATCACCGATCTGTACAGAGGGACTGGTATGACATCATCTGGTCCGCTGTACAGGGTATTTAACCCCTTCATACAGAGGAACTTGTATAATATTGGGCCCTCTGTGCTTAGCCTTTAACCCCTTCATCACCCCCTCATACAGAGGAACTTGTATAATATTGGGCCCTCTGTGCTTAGCCTTTAACCCCTTCATCACCCCCTCATACAGAGGAACTTGTATAATATTGGGCCCACTGTGCTTAGCCTTTAACCCCTTCATCACCCCCTCATACAGAGGAACTTGTATAATATTGGGCCCTCTGTGCTTAGCCTTTAACTCCTTCATCATATTGGGCCCTCTGTGCTTGGCCTTTAACTCCTTCATCACCTCCTCATACAGAGGAACTTGTATAATATTGGTTCCTCTGTGCTTAGCCTTTAACCCCTTCATCATATTGGGCCCTCTGTGCTTGGCCTTTAACTCCATCACCTCCTCATACAGAGGAACTTGTATAATATTGGTTCCTCTGTGCTTAGCCTTTAACCCCTTCATCATATTGGGCCCTCTGTGCTTGGCCTTTAACTCCTTCATCACCTCCTCGTACAGAGGAACTTGTATAATATTGGTTCCTCTGTGCTTAGCCTTTAACCCCTTCATCACCCCCTCATACAGAGGAACTTGTATAATATTGGTTCCTCTGTGCTTAGCCTTCAACCCCTTCATCACCCCCTCATACAGAGGAACTTGTATAATATTGGGCCCTCTGTGCTTGGCCTTTAACTCCATCACCCCCTCATACAGAGGAACTTGTATAATATTGGGCCCTCTGTACTTCCTCTTCCTCCAGGTGGAAAACCACTTGGTGGTTTCACTCGACAACACGGCATTAAAATTGGCATATATGGAGAGTGTTCTTTTCCTTTTCCCTTTTCCCTTTCTCCCCCCCACACGGCCCTGCACGCTACAAGACTTCTCCCCTTTTTAAATTACACCCTACACATATGGCGGTGTCTACATAACCGTTAGGGTAATTTAACCACCTATATGCTGATTCGTTTTTTATATATGGTATGTGGGTATATCTATATATTCGATTACATATATCACCTTATAGAAAGACGTTAAGATTACATTCGTTGTTTAACCCAATGGGTAACATGGTGTTTAATCGGTAGATCCACATCTTCTCCTGCTGTTGGAGAATCGTATCAAAATCTCCTCTACGGGGTGAAATATTTAATGAATAGATGATCTTGACTTTTAGTCCGTCGGGGACCCCTTTGTGGTGTTCTAAAAAAGGTAGTCTAAAAAACCCCTTCATCACCTCCTCATACAGAGGAACTTGTATAATATTGGGCCCTCTGTGCTTGGCCTTTAACCCCTTCATCACCTCTTCCTACCAGAGGGACTGTTATGACATCATCTAGTCCTCTGTACAGGGTATTTAACCCCTTCATACAGGGTGAACTTGTATGATATCATCGGGCCCTCTGTACTGAACCCTTTAACCCCTTTATCAGCTCTGTAACTGAATATTTCCTGATATTTAGTCATCTAAAACACCCCTTTAGCTCTTTCTGTAAGGAAAAGCCACATTTGTACGAGTCAGTCTGTGTCTTCCGACTGCTGTAACCCGATAGCATTTGAAAGGCTGAGCACGCTCTCTCCCACTTTTGTTGCATCAAGTCACGCTGACCTCCACGTGGCATGGAACGTTTGTGCCATACCTGCCACTCATATGAATTGCTGCCAAAGTGACACGGACAATAGAGGTCTGCACAGGGCCACAATTCAGCTCCAACAATCGGCCATTAATGTGATCATAGTACACTGGGTAAACGTCCTCACCAACGGCCTACAAATACGTCGTTCCTGAAGTGATAGGCAGGTGCCCAGCTTAGAGGGTGGCCATGCCAGAACGGGCAAGGTTGGGGTGGTTTGGGCATGGAGGGGGGTAGGTTTGCAGGCACGGTGGCGAGTGCAGGAGTAGGGGGGAGTTTTGGATCAGGGTCTTGGGTGTAAAAGGGGGTGCACTTCCAGCAGGCATAGCGGGGATGGGGGGCAGCTTTGATGTCCTCACCAACAGCCTACAAGTACGTCCTTGCTGAGGTGATAGGCGGGTGCCCAGCTTAGACCAACTGTGCCATTCCTCTGTTAGGGAAGGATCGTGATATTCCTTCCGGCCCCCCAGACGTCCATCGGGCCTTAGAGCTCTGAGGACCAATGAGTGGAAAGCAAGTCACATGACTCAATCACGGTCCTAATGACAGATAACGCATCCAGTGCAGTTAGTGAATTGATCTTATTGGATGGTGCGATCCCCTCTCTGCTCCCATAGCAGTACATGGCTGTAACTGGAGGAAAGGTCAGCCTGCTCCTCCGGATATGGCCCTGACTCCGCTTCCCTTACCACTCATAGGATCTGTATAGCATGTTACCTATAGGTGGGTCACCAAGAATGACAGCAAGCAAGACTTCGGCGCTGATGGGTGAACTCGGCACATTAAAGGTGTTCACTCTTCTTTGCATTAAAGCAGAATGGGGCCCTAGACAAGGAGGCAGTTTTGGCCCCCCATTCCTTGATAAGGACTACAGTCAAACTAAGGACAAAGAAGCCACCCCGGCTGCATTGTCTGGACTGGCATGGCCCCATCAGACACCTACTGCCCACAAATACATCCTCCCTGGTAAAGTGACAGGCCGGTGCTCAGATTAGACCAGGAGTAGGCAACCTCGGCACTCCAGCTGTGATGAAACTCCAAATCCCATCCTGTCTCTGCCTCAGGGAGTCATGCCTGTGGCCATTAGTGCTGCAGTGCCTCATGGGACAGTCGTTGTAGCATGGCCCCCAGGACAGCTACGGGGGCCCTAGAGCTCTGACAGAGGAATAGAGCTGATCAGCGTGGCCGCATTTCTGTAGGCTGTTGCCATGCACAGCAGCGGCCTTAAAAGGTGATACTCAGCGGCATGCATATCGGGGTGCCAGCAGTCACTGATTCATTCACAGGTACAATAAAGAGTTCCGCCTGGTCCCATGCCCACCTGGACTCTCTGGTAGGGTCTTCACTGTGGCTGATGATAGGAGGAGAGAACAGAGCGAGCAGAGGAATGACCTCATAAGCCTGATGATAGGAGGAGAGAACAGAGCGAGCAGAGGAATGACCTCATAAGCCTGATGATAGGAGGAGAGAACAGAGGAATGACCTCATAAGCCTGATGATAGGAGGAGAGAACAGAGCGAGCAGAGGAATGACCTCATAAGCCCGATGATAGGAGGAGAGAACAGAGCCAGCAGAGGAATGACCTCATAAGCCTAATGATAGGAGGAGAGAACAGAGGAATGACCTCATAAGCCTGATGATAGGAGGAGAGAACAGAGCGAGCAGAGGAATGACCTCATAAGCCTGATGATAGGAGGAGAGAACAGAGCGAGCAGAGGAATGACCTCATAAGCCCGATGATAGGAGGAGAGAACAGAGCCAGCAGAGGAATGACCTCATAAGCCTGATGATAGGAGGAGAGAACAGAGGAATGACCTCATAAGCCTGATGAAAAATGTAATTTTTGTGTGTTTCCTCTTTTTTTTTTTTTCAGGCTGATGGGGAGACTTCAGTCACTAAAGGAATTCCTTTTCGCCGGCGAATGCGTCAGACGCCCAAAATCAACGCCGACGATGTGCCAGAGAAAGAGGCCAAGCGCATTGCGAGGATATTTGCTGCGCAGTTCTCCAACAAGTAGAGTCTTTGTCTGTTCTCCGCAATGTCACCCCAGAATGGTGTGTGTGTGTGTGTGTGTGTCCCTGTCATAGGAAGGAGGGGCTGTCTGAGCGACTTCTGAAGATGCTGAGACCCGGCTGTTACCCACAATGACCTCATAATCGGAACAAGATCAGGAAAGTCAGAGACTGAAAGTATTGAAGTGAGAGTTGGCATGGCAGCCAAGCAACTAGCATTTCCAGAAGAGAAGGTAGCCTGTGATTGAGCTAAAAGACCCGAGAGGCCGAGCCGGGTATTGAATATAATGCAGATGTTGCTCAACCTCACAGCGGCCATATTGGAAAGCAAAACGGCTGTTGGAGTCCCTGATTGATATCGGAAAGCAGTGGGTGTGCCCATTGAGTCAACTTGCCTACATCCACCCAATGGGGGGCTTCCTTCACTACCTAGTGAGTTGCTGTCCCGAAGCCATATGCAGGATGGGAATCTAGACTTTACTGGATGCATGCTTGTTCCAGATCAGTGGCCTCACCAAGTAGTAAACCCTTATTAGGAGCCTGCACCTCTAAAAACCAGTCTTCACTGACTGCTCCCATATTCCTGTCCTCTCAGGTTCCCGCTGAAGCCGACCTTAAGCAAAAGCAAAATCAATCAGTCCATCATAACAAGGAGATCCTGGTGCTCTTTGGTTCTAGATCATGTGACTTAACGCCACAGCTCCCCTTGCTCTGGGGAGTCAAATTCGGCACATTCTTCTGTCAGACTGAATGGCCACAGTGCTGAGATCTGTGGCAAATGGCTGCAGAACACGTAACCTAGTACCGAGCGCAGGTTACATCACCTGGTGCCGAGTCCAGATCATGTGACTTCGTGCCGAGCGCAGGTTACCTCACCAGTGCCAAGTCCAGATCATGTGACTCTGTGCCGAGTTCAGGTCATGTGACTAGGTGCCAAGTTCAGGTCATGTGGCCCTCTGGCCAGCGCAGGTTACATCACCCATTGCCGAGTACAGGTCATGTGGCCTCGTGCCAAGCGCAGGTTACATCCACTGGTGCCGAGTCCAGGTCATGCGACCTCGTGCCGAGCGCAGGTTACATCCCCTGGTGCCGAGTCCAGGTCATGTGAGCTTGTGCCGAGCGCAGGTTACATCCCCTGGTGCCGAGTCCAGGTCATGTGACCTTGTGCCGAGCGCAGGTTACATCCCCTGGTGCCGAGTCCAGGTCATGTGACCTCGTGCCAAGCGCAGGTTACATCACCTGGTGCCGAGTCCAGGTCATGTCACCGAACAATACTTAATTGCCGAATCGCCTACTTGCTGCAGACCGTGATGTTTTTTAATACCCCATCCCACCGTGTCCCTAAAAGTGTACAGTAGAGCGGTCTGTGCATTCCACACTCTCTTCCCCGCAGTTCAGTGTAGAGGAAGCTTTGGCCGAGGGCCATGAGGAACTTCAATCTCCGGTCTGTATCTACGGCCCACCTACAGTGATCCTGGTGGTCTCCAGCCATGTAATCCTCATCCGCCACCAGCTGCCAGGGTACCTGTGGCCTTGTACCTCGTTGCATCACCGCCACATGCTTGCAACTTGTTACCTGGACACAGAGGGGACATTCCAGGTGACCCCAGCTCACACTCTTTACGGTTCCAGGGACGCCGATGTCTGTAATCTGGAATGCTGACCTTGCATTTATAGGGACTACCTCATCGGGGTCCCACTCGGCTCCATTAGATGAGGCCAAGTCCCCCTAACCTATTATCGAGGGTCCCTACTGCAGTCACACAAGACCAATGTGTGGCCAATTCCTCGCCAATACTGGCCTCGGAGCGCGTTCCCGCATCCTCCCCTGCAGGGTCGTCCTGTCTAATGACTCCCCAATTGTTCAAAGTGAACGGAAACATTGACATCGGCTGGACAGCTTTCTTTCCTGACTTCTGAGACGTGTTTCAGACCTATGCGATACAACAAATGACCCGTGTGCCACGTGTGGTCCCCCTAGCGTCCAATTCTCCCGTTACCGGCCTGACTTACACTGGTTGCTATGGGTTACCGCACGCGCCACTTGATCTTTGCACCGCTACATTCGATAAGCTGTTTTTTTCTATTCTTGGACCTGCACTGTGTGATGTTGTACAATATATGTTTTTAATATTTGTATTATACGTATTTAAGGAAGTTTCTGTCTCTAAATTATTTTTATATGTTTTATGCGAAATGATGAATAATTTATTTTCAGGACGAGTTATAATAAAATGTTTGTTTACTAGAAATGACATTTGGAATTTATTTATATAGGACGCGGGGGGTCATAAATATCTGAACGAGGAAGAAAAGTGCTCTCAGGGTATTCTGTATAAAGGGATCTGCACACCGGCTTTGATGCCTCAAATGGACATGGAGTCGCTCGCTCAGCTCCGCCCCCATTTCAGAGAACGCTTTGCTTTTTTTTGTGTGGATAGAAGGCTTTCTGTGATTGGACGAGGAAAAGGCGGATGATGTCATGATCGTCACCTTGTCCTATCAGAGAATACCTTGTCGGCGGTACAGACCAGGTGACTGCCTGTGTGCAGATGGGAAGCCGCTGGAGCCGCAGTCGGAAGATGGCGGTAATTGGTATGTCATGGAAACGGAAAGGTTTTATATAAAAATGTCATTATTAGGGATATACTGATACCGAATATTTGGGCGAGTACCCGTACTCGCCCAAACACTCCGATACTGGAACTTCCGGTCAGAGGCAGGGAGATGACTGCCTTCCAGCTTCCTGATTAACCTGGGAAGCCAGCTCCCTGCTGATTGGCCTGGAAGCCGGCTTCCCAGCCAATCGGCATGGAGCCAGTCAAACAGCATTGAACCGGCTTCCTGGCCAATCAGGAAGCTGGGGAAGTGGGTAATGACCTGCCTCCCGACTTCCTGATTGGCCGGGAAGCGGGCTTCCTGGCCACTCAGTAATGACCCAGCCAAACAGCATTGAGCCGGCCAATCAGGAAGCTGGGCAGCTGGGTAATGACCCGACTCTCGGCTTCCTGATTGGCTGGGAAGCTGGCTCCATGCTTATGGGCTGGGATGCCAATCAGCATTGAGTCAGCCAATGCTGATTGGCTGGGAAAACGACTTCCCGTACAAACAGCATGGAGCTGGCTTCCTGATTGTCCGGGAAGCCGGCTCTATGCTACCGGAAGTACCGGTATCGGTGAGTACCAAAATATAAATACCGGTACTTGTACTCGATACCGAAAAAACGGTATCGGTGCATCCCTGATCATTAGCATGTTGATGGGGAGGAAGCAGGGAAGGGAAAAGATAAACAGATGAAACGTCTGCGTTGTCAGGCTTTGTCCTTTCACACTTTGTAATTGGCGTCTGTTGGATGATTAGTTGCCATGGTTACTTCCTGTGCCGTTAGTAAATAGCCGGAGCGACTAATGGACATAGCGTCTCGCTGTCGGTGTGCCAGATACATGTGATGCCATGGCTGCCAAGACCAAACGCCGACCTTTATCCCAGTAACATCAGACCCCCCCCAGCATGACCCTATCAGGAGCTCCACCATTAATGGACCGCCTCACATCATTGGAATATTCCGGGCTCTTCTGAGAACTGTACGCGTCCCTCAGTGACGGAAAGACTCTGTACTGTAAGAGGTGGAGAGACATCAGACGTGCAGGCCGTGTTATAACAGGACTTGTCTTTTACCCTTACAGACTATAAGGGGTGATTACTGAACAAGGACGACCAATCAGGATTCAGCTTTAATCCTCTGAGACTATAACACAAGGAATCTCATTGGTCACATCGTCCCCCCCAGCGCAGTTATGTCACGGAGAAATTGCTGTGATGACGGGATTCTGGTCTCCACTGGCACGGCGAGAAGTTTGCAGATTCAGCAAGATGCTCACATACACAGAACCGTCATAGCCGTGACCTGTGTGAATGTGGAAGTGCAGACGGGGACACAAAGTCACTGTGTAGGCCAAAGTATAACTACCCCCTTCCCCAGAGCCCATGACGGGTCATCGCAGAGCTCAACTGCCTTCAGCTGCCACCCTGGTGATTATTGATAATGGGGCATTCTTCCTCATACTCTATACACTGTGCTGCCCGTTACATATCCCTGAACCAAGTGCAAGTCTTGCGGGTGCGGGTGTCCCCGCTCGGACACAGACAGGATCCATCCTGTCGGCGTACGAGTACGGACACCCGCAGGACCTGCACTTGGGGTGAGCGTAGGGCGGCGTACGGCCACGTAGTCCCATAGAGAAGGATTGAGGCTGCGTACTAATCACACGCAGCACCTGTCCTTCCCGGGAGATGCTTGGTTCGGCCCTGCATGCACCACGGAGCTGTACGTGCCGACCTTTCCTCGTGTGAATCAGGGCTAAAGGAGCGCTTAGATAGGTGAGAGGAGAACCACGAGAGAGCAGAGTCTTATAGGCCCAGTGAGTGGAGTTTTTGGAGGAGGAGCAGATGGTCAACAGTGTCAAAAGAAGCAGAAAGTCTAATAGCAAGAGTAACGGGTAGTGGGGAGTCAGAGTAAGGGGTAGCGGGGCGTCAGAGTAAGGGGTAGCGGGGGGTCAGAGTAAGGGGTAGCGGGGGGTCAGAGTAAGGGGTA